ATCAAATCGTAAGGTGTAGTTTATGAAATTACTATGGATTTTCATCAAGTAACGGCCGAATCAATTAGAAAAAAAAGCGTTGGTTGGGCTCACTCCTCATACCGTTAGGTAAATGCTTAATGTTCTCTGAGAAGATGTAATGAGCCCAGAATGTCAGCCATCTACATTCGTTCAGTCAAGATTTCTGCGTTATAGTGCGGGTAGCCGGGCATAATCTCTTGAGATTCGAACCGAGGTCTTCAATGTTGTTGAAGAAGATCCCTTGCGTGGGCCCCTCTTATGTACCCTTTACGTGAACGAACTAAGTTGAAAATGAGAATTAACGAAGTATTTTCTCCCAACATACAATTCCTAGCATGGATCACTTTCTGAACCAATAGCCACATTGTACGTACGATTTTTCTTATCTATTCAGATGACTTGTTAGAAGGTCAATGATTGAATGATAGCGAACCTAGCAACAAGTGAACGTATTAATTGAAATTTTTCAAAAATATGGGTTATCGATAACCACAGCAATGATTTTATCGCTCCAAAATATTTTTACTGTAATTCGTTCGCACAATATGAAAAAATCTTGAGTAACTTCAGGCAAGAAAACGCTATCTGGTTAGTTGAAATTAATTGTGATGTCGAAGAAGTTGCGTTCGTTGTGGAAGTTGATAATAACGGCCCGGATCGAGAAGAGACGTATACAAATAACAGGCATCCTCTCATACGAAATTGAGTTGCATGACAGTCCTCCTGGAATCTCCTGAAATATTCATTGCCTCTAAGAATATTTGGAATCGGGTGATCCATGTCTGCCACCGTGTTCCAATATTTGAAAAGTCTGTTCTTGTGTCAAAAAATCGAAAAGTGAAATTTATGTTTTCCATTTCCTAAGAAGATTGTTTTTGTTGTTGTTATTGGTTCTACGCCAATATCCTAATCGCCAATTTCATATTTTGTGGCTGAAGACTATCGATGAGAGATACATACTTACAAGAAAATGAAAATTTACAAAAAAAATATTCGAATAGTCATCTCTCCCAACTACTTACACCGTAGGTTTTGGGAAATGTTTGCCGGAAATCAACTATTTTCCTGGCTGATGCCACGCTGGATATTAAATTAGGATATTGAAATAGAGTCGACAGACATTTATGCAAGATATCTTAGGTTAGTCTCTCAGATGTTCCTCGTTCATCCAGCAGCAGTAGTTGTTTTTACATAATTTTTCTTCTTTCGTGTAATTCAATGTTTATATGAAAGTAGCTGTTTCAGGAGGGCTTCTTCTTCCAGTTTGTGTCTGAAAGTTGCTTCTTTGCATGATCTACACATCTATGTATAGAGTAGAAGAAAGCTAGAAACTTCCTTTCCCAAAAATTAATCACTCCTTAAAATGTAGCCCTTTCAATTTGAACAAGATTCCTTTGGCTGGAATTGATTCAAATAAGCGAGAGAATGTCATTACATAAGTAGATCAAACTCATTCCGTGACATGAAGTCGTAATTTTATGAATGAATTGTTCATTTTTTCTTATAATGTTATCCAGATAAGTACTGAAGAGGCCCAACGCAAGTGTCTTACGGCAAAACATCGATGTCTACCAGTGAGAATGACAGTGTTCCATCTAAGTGAAATTTTTACCTTTCATTTAGTATACAATGTAAGAATCATGTGAATGATATATGATTCAATTCCATAGTGAATGTTTGGAATACAAACTGAGTAGAGAAAAGTGTTTTTTGTATAGTTCAGTGTTCATATAAAAGTATTTGTTTCAAAAAATATTTCTTTTTCTCTGAACTTCAATTTTTATATGAAACAAGCTGTTTCAGGAGGAATTTTTCTTCCAGTTCTTATATGAAAGTTGCTTCTTTGCATGATCTACACATGTATGTATAGAGTTACTTCTTTTTGAATCGATTACTTCCTTTCTTTTTTCAAAAGATTACCACATTTTTCTGTATCAAGATGGAATGGTAGAAAGCCAAACATTTTCTTTCCCAAAATTCAATCACTTCTAAAAATATAACCCTTTCAATTTGAACAAGATTCCTTTGGCTGGAATTAATTCAAATGAGCGAATGAATGTCATTACAATGTCATCAATGACAAAAGTAGATCGAAAAGTCATAATTTCATAAATGAACTGTGTGTTTCTTTTATAATCTTATCCAGATTGGTACTGAAGAGGCCTAAAGTCTACGGTGTTGACAGTGTTCCATGTAAGTAAACATTTCACCTTTCATTTAGTATATGGTGTAGGAATCCTGTGAATGATATCTGTTTCAATTCCATAACGAATGTTCGGAATACACACTGACTAGAGGAAAGTGTTTTATGTATAACTCAGTGTTCACATAAAAGTATTTGTTTTGAAAGATTTTTTTTTTGTTTCGTGTAATTCAATGTTAATATGAAACTTGCTGTTTCAAGAAGGTATTGTGGTCGATTATCTCGAATCAATGCTTCTGCAATGATTCCTATTTCATAATTAGGTGCCAACAACATTTTGCTGTTGAAGTTTTCTTCTTGGGTTTTCGTAATTAATGTTCCTTGAACTCCAATAATTTCACAATATTCTCCGAAATTGTTAAGCAAATTTTTGGAAATTGAACCAGCAAGTGGGTGCTATTGACTGGGGATAGTTTGCATTACTGACCGAATTATCAGTCGATAGAGCTACTATAACAAAGGTTGTTCTGAGTAAAGGAATGGATAGTTTTATGATGATCAAGCTAGGTTATCTGAATAGCTTTCAGTGGAACTTCAAAAATTTGGATGCTATATCTTGAACTTGTAACCCCCCAAATTTTGAAAAGGCAAATTTAATAATTCAAAATTTGGGATGCCAACACCTTTTGCTGATAGGCTGCTCAGTTTGATACGGGAGGGTGTGATATCTTTCTATCGTTTCCGTCGAAAACGAATGCCCTTGGTCTTTGCGTTTTTTGTTTTCGCAGATCCAGCCGGCAGTGACTATTATACCGTTTACGGAGAATAATATGATTGAAATTGTGGTGATTGAACTATTGATATTATAGGTAACATTAAGAATATATGAATGTAACGAAATATTCGTTACAAACTTTGGTTAATTCATGTTTTGGCTTCGACTAAATTATTGCTACAACTCCGATTTTGACTTTACTGATTCTCATTTTGTGTATTTTTTTGTATCATTTCAGAAATTATGAGTGGTTTGTTCAATTTGTTGAAGTGAATAAAATGATAAAATTAATTGATTTTCAAATAACCTTTCAACAACACATAGTCCATTTCAGTATCTGATAAAGCTCCTGTCTAAGTATTCAACAGCTATATAAACAAAAGTAATTTTAAATAACTTCAGTGTTCTTTTCAAAGAGACATTACTACAAGAAGAAAATGGTATCATTGAAACTTTTCACTTTTGTTGTGCTGGTATATACCGCAAATGGTGAGACTAACTTTACAATTGATTATTTGTAAAGATCGATTTGTAATTTTTGAAGTCATCAATATCGTTTTTCATATCATATACTCTCAAAATGTGGCCTAGCTTAGAAGTTTTTATCATTTTTCTGCATTGAAGAAAATTTTCTGATTAACTAAACTGTTAAGATACAAGAATGATTTTTTTAAATAGGTGCCTGACGTTTATTAATGGCAATCACTGACGATTATTATTTTGAGTTATCGTTACTATCTCACTGCAAGGTGTTTGTATTCACGTATATTTCACAAAGTATTATTCACCTAATGGGGTAACAGAGTTTCTGCATTGTGGTCCGAGGGGCAAAGGTACATTTTGTATAAGTAAATAAAATCAATATGCTAGCTTGACTAAATGCGTTGTTGGACAACATATACGCGGCTTCCTTGAATTTTCTCCTCTTTGTGAATGATTTCAGTTTGAGCCCACTTGATATTATGTTGATGAGTCTAAACATGCTCTGCTATTCCGGATTTACTGGTTTCTCCTCGCTGTGTGTGTTTCTTGTGCCCCGCAATGCGAACTTTCAGTGGTCTCTTAGTTTCACCGATGTATGATTCTCCGCACTTACCGGATACCCTGCGAGTGCGGATAATCATACATCGGTGAAACTAAGAGGCCATTAAAAGTTTGCGTTGCTGAGCACAAGAAACACACACAGCGAGGAGCAAAAAACCAGCAAATCCGGAATAGCATCATCAAGTGGGCTCAAGCTGAAATCATCCACAAAGAGGAACACTGGTTTAGGAGAAAATTCAAGGAAGCCGCGTATATGTTGTCCAACAACGCATATTGTCAAGCTAGCATAGAGATACGTAACATATGGAAATCTCTTATCAAGCGAAAAACGACCAACTCCCGCCAAACGGTCATCTTCCACTAAAACCAATGAAGAGGAAAGAGGGGATAGGTGAAAGATGAAAACACCCGAATGACCTGTAAATAATCAGATTTCGGAAGAATAAGTCCAGTTATCACCCGAAGACGATTGTGGATACTAACAATCGAAACGTCGTGATGTAACTTGGTTTGGAATCTTTTAATTTTAACTTTTATTTTTCATTTTTGTTAATACATTTTTTTATTTTCAGCTTTTAATAATATTTCAATTTTTTATTTCCTGGTTGTAGCTTGTATGTTATTTCCCTGTAATTTCCGTTTTTTGTTTTAATAAAATTGTTATTTTCGGTAAATTCGTTTATTTTTTTTTCAGGGATTTCAAATCAATTTATATTATATTAGACAATGGAAGTCCGAACTGATGAAATACATGTTACATGTTGCTTTCGTTTCATAAGGGATATTGAATGAAAGAGGGTAAATTTGAACGTGGGAAATTTTAGTAGAATTTTATTTGGTACGCGAACCTTTGATTGTTTTATTTATTTTAGACAGGTTGAGAATTCAGCTTAGATTAAGTTCATTTCAAGCTACGAGAGTGTTAGAAAGTGATAGCGAAAAAATGAAATAGAAGAAAAATTGTTAGATTATATTCGAGTATCAGAGTTTTTTATCCGGAGGCATAATAATATTTCAGCAAGATGGTGTATATATGCAATCAATGAAATTTAAACACTTCTGAATGCCGGAAAACAAGATGGCTTCCATATCAATTTCAATGAGTTGTAGATCGGCAAAATGAAACGAACAGACAGGAATATGTCCAACGATAACTAAATGTCAACGATAACTGTTTTTACCAAGAAATTAATTCTTGGTAAAAACAGTTATCAAAACCAAATTTTCATAACGTATTCTGTAAAGAAAAAAATAAATTGAATTATCTCTGAACTAATATGGCGGACGTCCAATGCTTTTCCATGATATGAATATCAAACTTTAGAAGAAAAAAAAAACCAAAATGGTGGAAATTAAGGTGGCAGCCAAAAATTGCTTTGAAATTATACACTCATTACATATTCTATAATGTTATATTCACTAATTTTTATGAATTTTATTATTGAACATAAAATATTATGTGTATCTACAAAATTACTAGAAATTTCCGGTTTTATTCTGATATTTAAGGAAAAAAAATAATACCATTGGATATTAGTTCAATCATTATTAGTTCCCAACTTTTTGAAGTAATTTAATATTTTTCTCTTTACTGTGTACCAATTTTGATTATTCATTTCATTTATTTTTATTCATCAGCTGGAAAAGACTTAGACCTTGGTTACAAACTGGTAGACTGTCTTCAAAAAGCAATGATTCTGGGGATTCCTTCCTTGGGCTACAAGTCTCACGATCCCCTAATCATTTCAAGAAACCTGTATTGGACATTAGATTTTGGATTCTCTAGGTATACTTCAAATTTTTTTAAAGATAATTTGTGACATATTTCGGGAAATAACTCCAATCTGAAATAACAGTCCCCAAAAATTTGTTTCGAAAAAGCGAATAGTAATCGTTTTAATTTTTGATTTTCTAGTGCCTCTTTCAATGTCAGCAATATGATATGGTATGGGCTTCCTCAGTGGAATGTTACTGCTAAACAATTGACCGAAGACCATGAACCACATGTGATATTTGACTACAACATCCACTGGAACAAATGGCTACTTACTTCATTGTATAAAGTCGACATCGATGCTAATTCGAATCCTAGTGCACTGGAGGGAAACATGAAGTGAGTTCTGGTTGTCTTACTTTGTCCTCTTTTGAGCTCAGGTTGACTGATTTTCAGACTCAATCGGAAATAACGAAGTTTCGAACAAAAATAATTAATAAATTTTAATGAATATTGTTTACAGTTCAAACGAAGCCAGCCTTCAAGTATTTTCTGAAGAGCATTTTCATTACGAAAAAAATATTTTGTTGAATCAATAGTTATTATATGGCATTTCAGTTACACTAGTTGATATTCTTACTAAACTCGATCAGTAGTTGAATTCAAACAGAAAATATTTTAATGAATGTCTAAATATTAAAACACTCAATATTCATCTATTGCAGATGATAGAAATAAAAAATTAAATTTATGTACTGAAGGCTAGTTGGTCATCTTCAACACCATGCAGCCCAATTCTATCGAATATCAGTAGAAGTGTGTCATATTTTTTTTTTGAAAATAACTAAAACAAAATGAAAATTTCAGTGGAGCCACATATATCCACTATATACACTGAAAGTATCACTTTATGCAAAAAAAGTAAAACCTAGTCTCTTCAAAAGTTACTGATTTTGTACTCGAGAGTCATTTAACATGTCCATTTCTTCCAAGTCTCCGAAAAGACTGCATTTTGATAATAACAATAATAATATCGTCTTCATTATCTTCTAATACATTTAAAGTAAATCAATCATGTCCAGTTCATTTATTATATGAAGATGGCGAAGTTCAATTTCAATTGCTCTTCCACTTAACCTCAAAAATGTCGCCTAGTACGCAAAGGAATTAACAAAAAGGATTTTTAAATATCTTAAAATATTATGACTATTTATAGATTTGTAATAGGTAGGTAGCTATTGGGTCGTTAATAGTTTGTAGATAATAAGAATCGTTTGAAATTGATATTAAAATTATTGAAGTCATCTCGTTTCATGGGCTCGGGAATGTCATTATAATTGCACAGATCTGGTAGCTGAAACTCCTTCTAAAGGATGGCAGAGTTAGTCGGCCTTTATACCTTACATTAATATTATGCACATCCGTTCTAAAAGTAACTTTCTGGTGTAAGTAAGACGGCACTTTACTATTAATTATTTTGTAAAACAAAGTTACAGCATGTAACACTCTCCTATCGTTCATATTTAACCAGCCGGTATCCTTCAGTTTATGTGATATTCTTTCTCTTCTTCTAATACCAAAAATCAACCGTAAGCAGGAATTCTGTACTTTTTGTATCTTTTTCTTGAATTGGTTGGTTAAACATGGACCATACAAAACATTGATAGCAAACAAAAGGGGTCCCAAAATAGAGCCCTGTGGCACTCCACATATCAGCTTCAAATATTGTGAGCTGTTTCCTTCTATGGTAACCTTTTGTTGACGGTTGATGAGATACGATCTGATTAGTGATCTAGATCCTTGAGCTGGTAGAATCATTGAGAGTTTGTATTTTCCTGCCTGATCTTTGACCATAATGAAGCAAAAATGGAAGAGTTCCACTTCTAGAGCAGCTGGTCGGGATTTAGGTGAATTTGATTCAGTTCGAAGTCTGGAATTATCAGTGTCAATGAGATGTCATTACAGAAAATCGCTCAGAGAAGTCTGAAGGTTGAAAATTCATATGGGCTGACAAGTTTGTCAATCCATACCGAAACCAAATAAAAATTTCATTAGGAATTAAACTATATCTTTTTGTGGTCTCTCTTTGTTGTGGAGTTTGAGTAAATATGTGTTATTTGTATCAAAAAGTATTCAGGGGACTCATATAGATACCAAAAAAAACATATGAGTTCTCACTCAAGATACTACTCCTAGTAAGTATTGTTACTAGGAGTATTACTCTTACTACTATTATTACTACCTACTACTACTGCCACAATGACTTCCTCAAGACCATGAAGAAGTTACAAATTTTAAATTTACATTTTTTCAGTATTACTATGGATAACACAGACTGGTGGGGAAGAGTTAATTTCACGAAGCCAGGATTCAATTTGACTGAACAAATAAATGATCTCACTGTCTACTGGACTGCCGATCAAGTTGGTGTAAGTAAATTCAAAGATCATCAATTCATCAAGTTGAGTTGGTCGAAGATTTCTAAATAATAACTTTCGTGACGTTGAAAGAACGCTTATCAAAGAATTTCATCATCGCAAGACCTACGTCATTTTGAGATATATCGAAAATAGTAACATGTAAATCTAAAGAAATGAACTTTAAACGTTCAAGCCAGTCTCGAATATACCTACACAGTAGGTTGAATGGACTGACGCCTATCAGAAAACAACTACTTTCCTGGCTAATACCACGAAGGGCGTTGGATTATATCCGACAGGCGGGTGCTGGTTCCAAAATTGAAGGTCGACTCTTCCAGTTGTATTGCCAATTGCATATGCCGGAAATTTTCTGCAAAGATACCTGCACTGACATTCAACCTACTGTGTAGGTATATTCGAGACTGGCTTCAACGTTTAAAGTTCATTTCTTTAGATTTGTTTACTGCCAGTCTTCAAGCATAGCCCACTGACTAATCTGAAAACAGGCTTCTTTCAAAGATACAACTGAGTCCTTTCTAATGTACTAACGTCAGATCACTATTATTACTCTTCACATCAAAAACTACCGAAATAGTAATAGTAAATTCAAGCATATGACCAATCTGGTAATTATATGTATTTTCTCGATTACATAGAAAGAAGCTTGCTATCATTTCCAAAAGTTTTTGCAGATATACCTAATGTTGAAATTGTTTACTCGTACTCCATATCTCATCAACATATCAATAATAAAATTAAATGATAGGTGATCGGAGGATAAGCAATGAAGTGGTTTTCAATTCTTTTTGTAAAACGAGAGAGCTACGAAAACAAATGAAGGAATGAAAAAGTTTGTTTCTAAATGTTCTACTAACAGAAATTTCAATGTTACGAAAAAGTTCGAAGGCGTACATTTTTGGGTCTATCATATTGGAAAATCAAATATATTACTTTGCTGATGCCAGCACACTTGTCATTCCATTTGGATTCCAGGATATCGGCTACGCTGGAATTGCAAAGGCTGCTTCTCAAAAGCTTGGAACACTGTTCCCAACCAGAAAACTGTACACACCTCAACAACTTTTGGTGCTTTATATAGTTAGATCAGGCCTTTTTTGGAGTATTGATCACATGTATGCAACTCTGCCCCCAAACATACCCCGAAGTTGCTGGATTCCATCCAGAAAACAACCATTCGCCTGATTGGAGACGCGAACATCACATGCAACCTTGATACTCTGGAACATCGAAAAGGGGTTGGAGATTTGTCTCTCTTCTATAGATATAGCATCAAATCTAACAACCAACAACAAACTTTGGTTTCTCTTGTAATGAAGTACATTCCAAGAATATTTCAGCTCTTATAAATTAAAATGTCGTTATTAGGAACCCATGATCATAATCTTGAACTGATATAAAATGTCATTATTATATGTGTTCTTTCGTTTTCAGCTAAGCTTCACTGGCTTAGGAGACATAGAAGAAATCGTTTCATCGACTTTAGGGTTCACAATCAAAAATTTTCTGAACTCTGGGGCTCTGGGAAATAAACTAGGAGAGTTTTTCCATACCAGGCTGAACACAAACTATTTCCAACAAAATGAGAAGATTGATGCTATCCTTGAATTTTGTCGAACTACTCCTTATCCAGATGGTTTTAAACCGAAACCATAAACCTGATTGTGATTATTATTTACTTTATGCCGAAACTTAAGATATTATTAATTTACATTTGTGCTACAATATTTTTGATGAATATTATTGAATTTTTTCGAACAATAGAATTAATGCATTGCAAAATATCAATCAATTACTCACCCTTTATCTGGCTATCACTCGATCTGGCTTCGCCTAAATAGCGAACATAAATTCCTACATTCCTACTCCTACTCAACATTCTAGATCATCCCTGAACAGTCTACAACGATGTGGACTATTCGGGAATAGTCTAGAACATCCGGGTACATTCTGAAACATCTCAGACCATTGAGGAATGATCAAGGGAGTTATATGTTGTGTAGCCCACTATCTCCCATCCATGAAAAATGTATTCGGGAACATTCCGAAACAGTTCGAAGTCGTACCTGATATATTATTGAATATTGAACACATAGGGTCGCTGATATGTATGGAAATGGTCGACTATCTCTTAAAGTAAGATAGCTAGCGGAAAATGTTAGGATACAAAAGATTTTGTGTTTTACAAAATATATCACACTGAATGAAAATTAAGTATACAGGATCAGTCAAAAAGAAGAAACAAAGTAGCTTTTTCTTTAATAGAACACCCTATATATTGTTTCTTATATCAATTCTGCTCGAAAGTCTGAACAAAATTGATATAGCACTTCATTTCCCGATTCAACCGTTTTCAAGTAATCTAATTTCGAAATTAACTTTTTACTACTGTCAAATTTTATATTTGTTCTGCAGGAAAATTGTAATTATTATCATTCGGGAGTAATTGTCTAAGCTCTGGAGTAATACACTGTTTTAAAAGTTATGAATATCGTTCAGAGGTCAAATTTTCGATTATAAAACAGGGTCCTATAATGTGTCCACCAATAATGCCACACCAGACATTTACTTTTTGTTGCCGTTGAGTGTGAACCTCCTCCATCCAATGTGGATTTTGGTCTGACGACCAAAACATACAGTTGTGTCGATTAACGTGCCCGTTTAAACAAAATGTAGATTCGTCCGAAAGCAATATGTGGTTGACAAAGTTGACATTTTCATTTAATTCATCCATAATAACTTCACCCAATTCCTCCTTTAATTCTGGTACCAAAAGAATTTTATATGGATGGAATTTTTGCAGTTTGCAAATTTATTTAATGAAATATCGACTCATGTTATGATTCAGAGCCCTGTGTTGTGCTGAATATAATGGATTTTCCACCACATCTAACATGACATTCAAAGAATTTTCTTCATTTGTATTGCTTACTGGTCTTCCACTTTTTGATCGATCTTTGACAACTTCAGTTTCATGAAAAAGCTGCAATGTTTTTGAAACGGTTGATTTGGAAATGGATTCCCGATTGGGATGCAATTCATCGAAATTTCAAAATTATAATCAATCAATCAAACTTATAGTCAAGATTGATTGTGATACCCAAAGTTTCACTTATTTTTATAGCAGAAAAATAAAATGTGATCTGAGAATTTTCGAATGTTATGATCAGAATAAAACGTTTTGAGATTTTCCCTATAAAGTAGTATTCATGCCAATGATTTATATGAGATAAAACTGAACTGAATATCGACTCATCATTATTAACCGAACTCAAATTGGAATCCAATTTGCTGATAAATAGTTCAACTGGAATGAATAGAGATGAAAAGTATAGAATATATTTTCATTCGAAGACGAGGTATATTGTAAAGTAAAGTAGACAATTTTCAAGATACGATAGCTGTCACGTTTATTATTCAGGTTCAGTCCAAGTTTTCAATTCTGGATAAATCTGTCTCTACTAATTTGAATGGATTCTGTTCGTGATGATGAACTGAAACAGTCATATGACATGGAAAATGTTTGTACAACTTGTCATGTATCATTAAGATCCAAAACTGGCCTCAAAATTCTTAATGGAAATATTCACAAAACATTTTGTTGTCGAAGGATTCATTAATTGAAAATTCCAGTAATGACTCGAATAAAACAGGACAAGGCACATTATCATTATTCAAAAAATTATCTGCTTTGAAGAACTCTACTAATATTGTGAGGTGAATCCCCAGATCAGCTAGAATTTGCGTAGCATCCGTCTTACTTGAAGTCATCGATGAATGTTTAATGCAGAACTCATTTTCCAGTTCGGAAAATCTACTTAATTTCACATTCACGGTTCTCCTTATACAATATTCGAGAGAGGTGAGGAAAATATCTCTCACAACATTGATGAAGAGAAACATAAAAACGAATAATAACGAATCATCTGCTATTCCGCCAGCGATTGTCAAACGATTCAAAGTAATCTCAAAAATTATTTCGAATAAATTTGGAGAGGGAGATATTTCATCTGCTATTGGGATTCTCATTTCTAACGATACTCTCGCTAATTATGACAATGATATATCAAAACTCACTCTTACACCTTTTCAAGCCGACTCAATATCGAATTCATCTGAACCTTTATTTGATCAAACAAGCAATTCAACGTTCCAAATTCCCGAACAACTTTTACTTGCAACAGTGAAAGCGTTGCGCAGTGGATCGGTTGGAGGACTAGATGGCTTTCGCCAAAGACTACAGAATACTATAAGACGTGTCACTCGCTCATTTTTCGACATCTGAGAAATCTCGCCGCCCGCTAGCGTTATGATTTATGGAAATCGCAAAAAATGCAATCCTGAGCCGTACCGACAAACGAATTCCTTGGAGTGAACCAACTTATAGTATTCGGTAAACTTTGCTTTCGCCCAAGTCACATATAATATAAGACCTCCTTAGTTACAGTGCTGGTAATTCTAGAGATAAACTGCTCACTTCTGTAAAAAATCTTTGTGATTTCCCATTATCTGGCGGAGTTAATCCAATATTTTACGGTGCATCTCTCTGTGCGCTTAAACAGAAAGACGGAGGAATACGTCCATTGCCATCGGAACTTTCTTTCACCGGTTAGTGACCAAACTAGGTTGTTTTCGGATCGAAGATAACCTTGGGTCCATTTTACGTCTCATTCAATTTGGCTTCGGTACTCCATTGGGATGCGAAGCGGTCGCCTATGCAGCACGGTGATATATCTATCAACATCCAAATTCGTTATCAAAAATTTACCTCAAGTTGCATTTTAAAAACGCATTCAATATGATTGACAGAAATTTGATGTTCAACGGTCACAAGAGGGTTTGCCAGACCTATAGCCTTTTATATATCAATGCTAAGGCTTTCCGAGTTTTTTGAATTTTGGTGAACATTTGAATGAATCTCAGAGAGGTGTCCAACAAGACGATCCTTTGGGACCTGCACTTTCCTGCCTGACCATTCAAAAGTGACTAGAAAACTGAATTCAGAATTCAACTATTGGTATCTGGAAGACGGATGCATTGGAGATGATATTGACCTTATATTGAAGGATTTGGAGATATTTATTAACAGTTCGAAACAAATTGGTTTTGAACCTAACTTCGATAAATGCGAATTGATTTTCAATCCAAGTCTTGAATCAGACTCTTTTGCCGACATTATGAAAGTTGTTTCTGGTATAAAACTCATAGAAAAATCGAAATGGGGACTACTTGGCGCCCCTCTCACTATGGAAGCTCTATGCGAAAGTTTACAGAACAAAATAGATTTCCTTGAGTCGATTTACAACTGTCTATACGATTTGCATACTTTCTTTTTTATTAAAATTTTTTTTAGCCATTCCTAAAGTACTGTATATTCCGAAATGCTCTCCTATTTGGAAAAATCAAGTATATCTTAAAAAGTTTGATGATCACCTACGTATAATAATTGAAAATGTTACCAACAGCTTTTTCACTGATATTTCTTGGTCTCAAGCAACATTGCCTGTGAATCGCGAAGGGTTGGGTCTACGCTCAGGATCATCGCTGACTTTATCAGTATTCATGTCTTCCATCAACAATGTTTTACAATTGATAGAAACGATACTTCCAGTCTCTTTTGACAATATAAAACTATAGGCGAATCTATTTGGTTTTTTCAAACCTAAAGTAATGTGCCTATGGATCTCAAATCACTTCAAAAAGCATGGGACGAACCTTTAGTAGGAATTGTTTCCGATTCCATCTCTTCATCCTTGTCATCTCCCTCTGAGAAATCTTGCCTCAAAGCCGTCAATATTGAAGAATCTGGTGCATGGTTAACCGAATAACCGGTTCTTCTTTGGGAACACTAATAAGATAATGATACATTCAGGGTAGCCATTGGACTCAGATTAGGCTTAGATATCTGTACCTATCGTAAATGTATTTGTGGTAGTTAGGTAAATGAAAAAGGTACTCATAGTTTGAGCTGCAGAAAGAGGGCCTTGATATCAGCCGGGATACCTTCTATCCTAGAACCACTAGGTACTAACTGTGATGGCAAACATCCTTATGGAATGACCCTAATTCCATGGAAATGTGTCTTATCTCTGAATTTTGTTAACGAAATTGAAAGAAGAATGACTGAAGAAATCAAATAAAAAAGATATATTATCTTTCTGATCCTAGAAATCAGTTTAGCTATACAGCGTGGTAATTCAGCTTATGTTTTTGGCACTATTCCATCGTCACATTCACTGGATGAATTTTTTTTTCATTTCGTTGTTTCCATTTCCTATGTATACCCTAGTCATGATGAGAGAGTAATCCCTCATGAAACCTCCCATATTTTTTGTGATACTCACCATACATTCCTACCAGAAGATACAAAAAATTATGAACAAGTTCTAGAGTGATCATCATCTACTACTCAACTCCTAAACGCCTTCCCTGTCCAATTCAGTTTAGCTTTGAATTCCTTAACCTACCGGGGTGAATCATTGTATCCGTGATTACTCAGAAGAAGACAGAAGTTGCAAACGTACTATCAACAGTTACAAACTTTTACAAACAATTCATGGGTTCTGCCCATCAACACGCCCTGGAATTCCTTCGTTATCTTTCAGAAGGTTTACATGAGGACGAAAAATTGATCGATAGCGGAAGAGCGCAAGAGTCCTGGCTGAGATATTTGAACACGAACAAATCTAAGATTGTAGACAATTTCGTTGGTCAATTGAAATCCGCTATGAAGTGCACACACTGTGGACACTCATCAGTAACCTTCGATACTTATAATCTATATGCACTTTTGAATTACAGTGGGACTACTGACAAAGGGTACAGCATATTGTAGAAACCCCTATGCCGCATGGCATATATACAACGATTCACACGTGTCCCCAATTTCTTCAAGATCGCTTCAGAGTGAGGAGGCATATATCCTGGTCAAATTTTCAGCTTACCAAGCAACCAGCAACCTAGGACGGCTGTCTACGTTCCTAGGAAATACAGAGCGTTTCCGATGAACGTCCAATTGGAAAAGGCAAATATATGGCGTTGATTATCGCATCGGTGTACCTCTCTTTAGATGCAGCCACTCTACCACCGACTAGAGAAATAGAGGTACTAGTGGATCACTGCCTCAACTAGAGAGTGGAGCTCATATTGGGTTGCGACTCAAACTCTCACCACTTGAGCTGGGGCAGCAAGGATATCAACGCCCGAGTTAAGTCACTATATGAATATATAATACAGAAAGATCTAACAATCTTGAACAGAGGCACAGAGCCAACATTTATTAACACCCGTAGCCAAACAATGATAGATATCACGCTTACGACAGCCAAAATATCAAACAAAATCCAAGACTGGCAAGTCTCGGACCATATTTTTATGACAGATCACCGCTGGCTGACCTATATGGTGAACCAGGATCTCAGGACGACTGTAAAATCCCGTGAACCGAAGAGGACGATCGACTCTTAAGAGGAGCTCTGCGGGAAACAGAGGTCCTGATTCCTGGCAACAATGAATAACTGGAAAGGTATACGGTATCTATCCACAACAAAATAGACATTGCCTATAAGGAATCCTGTCCGATTAGGATGGTTCAAACACATGGCACAACCAACACATGGTGGTGCCTTGAATCGGAACACCTCAGAAAGACAGCGAAAAAGACCTTCAACAAGGCAAAACATAGAAGACTCGAAGAGGACTAGGGTATATATCAAGCCAACCTCAGAGAGTTCAAAAAAGTCTGAAGACGAAAGCAAAGAGAAGCCTGGAGAGCCTATTGTGAGGCAGTCGAAGACTTTTCACTAGCTTCTGAATACAGAAGGCACTCTCAAATGACCACCATAAGAGTATCGGCATCCTGACGAGGGAAAATGGCGACAAAGCCGCCAACCTGCAGGAGAGTGCTGAGATTCTTATGGAAACTCACTTCCCAGGTTCTGTCTTTCCTGGAACGACGAACTGGATGGATGTACCAACAACACCCTCACAATACGACTGGCAAAATGCTAGTGCAGTATTTGATGAGGACAAAATAAGATGGGCTATATCGGGCTTTTCCCCCTTCAAGTCACCAGGACCTGACGGTATAAGACCAGCCCTACTTCAGTGGGGACTGGGCACTCTTATGCCGCACCTGGTTGGAATATTCAGAGCCTCTCTAGCTCTGAGGTATATTCCCAGTAAGTGGAGAGAAGTAGGAGTAGTATTTATACCCAAACCAGGTAGGATGGACTACACCCTACCAAAAGCATTCCGACCAATTAGTCTCACATAGTTTTTCTTAAAAACCATGCAGATGCTATGTGAGCGGTATATAAGAGATGGAGTACTTGTTAACAACCCACTTCATACAAATCAGCATGCATATGATATTTTTTGCTTATTTTGTCCATGAATTTTTCCTAAAGGATTAGATCATATTGAACGAATTCCTGCAAATGGAAGATTTGTTGCTGGTGTACATCCCATGAAAGATTGCTTTTTTGAAATAGAAAGCAAATATTTGAAAATAAAACCAGCACCTTCTGACTATTGACTGAAATATTTTGCGTTTCTGACTAAGTTTATCAATCGACAAAGTAACTGTACCAAAGTTTGTTGTGTGTAGAGTGATGGATAGTTGATTGATGGTCTAGGCTCAATAGGTCTGAATAGCAATCACTAGAATTTTGAAAATCTAGTAGCTGAATCTTAAATAAACAACTTCACTTAATTTCTGTTCTGGCTATGACTAATTAGTTGCTGCAACTCATATTTTGAGTTTACTGATTCTCATTTCCTATACTTTTTGTGAAAGTAATTTTAAAAATTATAAGTGCTTTTTATTCGTTTAAGTGGATCAAGTTCGAGTGGATCAAATGATAGGTAATAAAACTAATTAATTTTTGAATAACCTTCGAACAACACATGATGCACTTCAATATCTGATTAAGACTTGTCTCTACGCATATAACAGCTATATAAACGAAATCAATTTCAAATCATTCCAGTGTTCTTTTCAAGAAGAGATTACTACTAGATGAAAATGGTGGCATTGAAATTACTTACTTTTGTTGCCCTGGTGTATACCGCAAATGGTAAGACTAACTTTCCAATTGAGTATTTTTAAATATCAATTCGCAGTTTTTGAAGTCATCCATATCATATTTCATAGATACTCTTTAGATGCGGCCTATAAGTCATTTTTCTACATTGAAAAATGAAATTATTATGACTGACTGAAGAGACATAATGTATTGCCTTAATATCTCGTTTCATTCCAATTCGAAATAAAGAAAAAAAAAGTTAATTAATAATGTACTTCACGTGATTCAGAAAATACTCTTTTCTGGTTTTCACTCAAACATAAACTTTTATATTATTGGCAATCACTGATGATTATTATTTGAGTAATCAGTATTAGGTACCTTTCTGCAAACAAAGCCAAAAAAGGAGGGTTATGATTGTATTCGTCTACGAGTATGTTTTTTCACGTATATTTTACAGTACCCACCTAATCCCCTGTGGTAAAAGAAGTGGTATATTCAAACGTATGAATAAAATCAGTATAGTTTGGTTTGGTAAAGCACATGTAAATGAATGAGAGTGGCATTGGAATAAATCATTTAGCATTGTCAAAGTTTCATCTATTGTTCATTATATTACAATATGATGATTGGGACATGTATCAAAATGTACTTTTTAACTTTCAGAGTTATCAAAAAAAACTTCTCAGATAGAAGATATTTTGTGAAGCCTGAAATAGCTATATAACAACCGAAATGAGTTAAATAAGTTAAATAAGTTGAAGCAAGATTCTTCAAAGCATGCTTTTTGTTATTTGATATAAAATTATGTCCAGGAAAAATTATTGGTCAGAGACAAAGTTGAATTTTGAAATACATTATTTTTGGAAGCATGTAGCTGACTTAGAAAAAATCACTGTAAGCAGAAAAAAGAGTAATTTAATCGACAAACGTAGTTCGAGTCTATGGCTTTTAATATCCGTTATAATTTCTGAACAAAAAGTCCTAATAATTAATCTGAAACAAGAATCCAAATTCAGCTACATGTATCTACTCTATCAATCTTGATTATGCAACTATTCAGTTGGATGAGAAATAATATCATATTGCCATGTGGACTGTTGAGTACAAAAAGAAACATACATTATTCACTACCTTTAGTCCTATGAACATTGAAAAACATTATTTTGTATTATCATTAGTTCTGGCCAGAAAATTACTTTTATCGGCAAAATTTTGATACCTAGGAGTTTCATTATTGCATTTTTTGTATCTCCATTGATGAAGTAGGTATCTGAATATATTTCAAAATCAATCAGTTTTTGAGTAAATCCAGTACAATAAAACATACAAAAAATATTTTTAAAAGATTAAAACCCAAGAAAGCCGCGGGTACTGCTGGGATCCCTCCTTATGTATTGAAAAGATATGGTGATTGGTTGAGAACTCCTCCCCTCCACATATTTAATTTAATGATCAAATCAAATCAAATATATATTCTGGTGTGTGAAAAACTTCAATTACGACGCCTATATACAAATCTGGAAATTAAATGGATATTAAAAATTATAGACGTATATCAATTATGTCTTCAACAGCAAAATTATTTGCTCAGTGAATATATCAACAAATATATAGTACCTCAACAACATGGATTTATGAGACAGAAGCATATCAATACAAATTTATTTGAATTCAGTAATAAATCCTTAGAAGTTTTGAATATTAAAACTCGATTAGACGTCGCTTTCACTGATTTTCGTAAAGCTTTTGACCACGTTCATCATGATATTCTGATGGGAAAGCTTAGTAAATATGGAATTTCAAAACAATTTTAGAACTAACGAAAAATTATCTTCAAAATCGGTTTTTCATTATCAAACATAATGGAAAAATTTCAGATGAATTTTCAGCTAGGTCAGGTGTAGGTACCACAAGGATCAAATCTAGGTCCACTTCTGTTCATAATTTTCATCAATGATTTACCATCAACTTTAAAATATTCGGACTATCTTCTTTTTGCTGATGATTTGAAACTGTTCAAATCAGTCCAAACAGCAAAAGGATATAAATGATATCTTACATTGGAGTTTGACAAACAAATTATATTCAATCTTAATAAATGTTCTGTCATCTCAATAAGTCGCATAAAGGAGCTAATCACATTTAGTTATGAGATTGATGGTGTGGTTCTTGAAAGAAAAACTAATACCAAAGATCTTGGATTGGAGTATAATACACAATTCTCATTTGTTGATCATATACGAGATATTATCGGACAAACTTCTTCATTCTTCGATATAGACATTATTAAATCTCTTTATTTTTTGTTGGTAAGACCGAAATTATAGTTTCACTTCCATTATTTGGTTTGCGGAGTACCGAACCTATATGAAAGAACTAGAGAAAATTTTGAACAAATTCTTGAGGTATTTATTTTTTAAGCGATATCACAAGTGGCCAAACTATAACTCAACAAGGTCTTTCAATCTTCGACATGAATTCAAAATATTATCTTTAGAACAGCGACGCCTATTATCAGCAATGATATTCATGCACAAACTCTTGAATAACAACACTAATCCTTCAGAAATTCTCAGTATGTTACCATTTCACGTACTCCCTCGTCGCACCCGATTTTCGCTCATGTTCCATATTCCAACCGTAAATACCGTAACGAAAGCACCACTGATATCTTCACTAAAGTTAGTTAATTCGTTTAAAGATATCGATAGATCTTGATTGGACACTCTCCCAATCAGTATTCCGCAAAAAAAAGTTGAAACATCTGTTGAATTTACCTATTTAAGCAGTATTTCCCTCTACAGTTGTGGTACATACATATTTTACTATTTTTATATATTCATAAGTATTCCGAGGATTATATGAACTTCAATTGATTTCATCCATGTAATTAGGCTGTATTAGTTTGTTTGGATAATATTAAATAAATAAATGAATGCTACGAAGACAGACAAGATAGAAGTATACTAAGAAAACATCTCAACATCGCAAATTCTAAATATTACTTCCCTGAAATATAGGGTCGTGCTCTTATTGTTAACAGCGAAAAATTCACCATAGAACAATTCGATGACCTTGACTCTGAAGAAAATTTCAATTCAACTGACCCTACTGATTCCCCATTGGAGACATGCCAGAAACATGAAGTAGGGCCGAATGAAGAAACACATAAAGTGCAAGAAGTCAGCAGAAAGTGGATGAAGAAAAAGAAGAAAGATCAGTAGGGAAATATATTAGAAGGAAAAAACTTGAAAGCAAAACGGAAAAAATTCATACACCAAAGACAAGAGCAAACTCCTCATCATCCTTCACTACTAGAACAGCTACTCAAAAAACATATCAACAAATGAATCATCATAGTACTATTCATATCCCTAGGCTGCGGTAACGCTCTCATGTATATATGTAGATATGTTTTTTTTTTGTGTAAGCATATAAGTACAGGTGCAAAAACTTGAAAAATGGATCAGTACCTCAGAGTACTCAGAGTATGTGTAAGCATACAGGTGCATAAATTTGAAAAATGGATCAGTACCTCAGAGATTTCCATGTGGTTAATGATAGCCGAGAATGCTGAGTTTTCGAAGTGGACTCAGAGAATAACAGCTTCAATATAATACATAACAATATAAGAAATATCGATAAAACATTGATTAGTTCAAAATTTTCCTCCTTGATGCTTACTCAGAAACCCGAAAAATACATGATACAAACTTATACAATATTCCTGGTTTTACACTGACCTTTAACAAGGGCGAATTAAATCAGAACGAAGAAACCGTAATCTATATAAAAAAGGAAACAAGAAACTGATTATGACATAATTTTTATGGAACACATGAAATTTTTAAAAACGATAATAAATATAGGAAAAAACCATTTTTTTATTATAGCTTTCCACTAATATTAACGTACTTTGAGAATTGAATGATTATTGCTTATTTATTGGTGACATACTTCATACTTCAAGAAGATGAAAATAAAATGAAATATACCTGAATATCTACCATCAATAATACCACCAGAGTAAAGTCATCCCTGGGATTCACGAGTACATATTACTCTTTTGGATATGCTAAAAAGAAGGTTAAAAAACTGATAATGTTAAAAAACTCAAGGTACCAGTCAGATCTCTCATATGTAGAATGTCAAATAATGAATATTAGACAATTATACTTCTTCTGTACCAACGTAAAGTACCAATTCTGTGGTAACAAAGCTAGCTCAAGAAGCCACCAATATAACACCCGACATCGTGCGCAACTCGCTTACCCCACTATCGTGAGAAAACTATTTCATAATGAGCATACTCTTTTCGCGTAATTGAATTAAATAACCGAAGAATTTGAAAAATATAATATTAAAACCACTGTTCAAAAAATAAAATAAATTCGTTCGTTTTTCAGACACATAATTTGTGCGAAATCTGATGGAATAACTACTTGTAAATAATAAATAGGTATTGTATCCCTTTCCGCATTATCCCAAAATTGTGCTCCCCATATATATAGGTATACAGAAATGCGGTTATATATTTATTTATTTTCTATGTACTATTGAATATTATTCATTATACTGTATTAACCTCCATTTTTTTTTTTAACCATTCTGTGTTGTGTCTCATTTCATTGCCACCACTGCAATATATTACCAAACATTATTATTATTATGATTATACTTGTATATAATTTGAGAATAATAATGACTTTTGTTTCACAGCTTCTACAGATAGAGAGCTTGCTCTTAAATTGGCATCATGTTTGAAGAAAGTGATTATTAGTGGACTTCCATCTCTTCACATTCCTTCTCATGACCCTCTTGTTTTTAATCACAACCTATCTTGGCATGGAGACATTGGCATTGCCAGGTAATATCTTTATATTATTTCCATGTACGATACAAGTAACTTCATTGCCATTTTAGAAATTTTCCAGAAAAATATTCAATGTGTAATATTGAACTCTATTGCTTTTTAATTGATTGTGTAGGGTAACGGATTCATTTTTTCAATACTGTATAATGATATTCAAGTGGGATGAATTTTTTATATCTTCGAGTAGTGTTTTCTTCAGGTTTCATGCAAATATATCAGATATTACAATCGCCTTATACACTTCTTCATTGTTTGTATCAGAACACTATAATTTACCTTCTTATTTGATAAATTATGGTATTGAAAATTAAGATCGACAAATAATAATAATAATAATAAATGAATTTATTGACAGCAGAAATATCATGACACAATATGAAGAAAAACGAAATACAAATTTGTCAATAGAATACAATATTGAACAGAGTTTATTTTTCCTCTTGCACCTTACAAAAAAAAATGAAAAAGATGAAAAATAAAAAAAAATAAAAAATAACCAAAAATTGTAATTGTAATTGTGATAGCGGGTACAACATTTAATTTGAATAAAGAGGGGACAGGAAGATGAGGCGGATATGGATACAAACATAAGAATACTACAAATATTTCAGCTGATGCATCTTACAAAAAAAAGATAAAAAATATGAAAAATAAAAAAAATAAAAAAGGACCAAACATTGTAATTGTGATAGCGAGTACAACATTTAATTCGAATGTTGAGGAGAGAGGGGAGAGGGGACTACAAATATTTTAGCTATGGTCTACAAGAGCCAATGTGTCGTAGAAGATATTCTGGTATTATTGTATTTTCAGAGGGTGTTCTTTCAGGCAGTACCTGAAACTGGAAATAGATTTCGACCGAAAGAAAGGTGATATATTGTTATAGAATTCAGCTATTGTATATGTGAATGACCTATTCAATAATTCAATAGAATGTCTAACAACATAGATCATTTTGCGCCTGATGTTCACATTATGAACATCAGTTCGATCAGTTATTTTGTTATAGAAGTAGGGAGGTGTTCTATTGACAATAACTTTATGAAATAATGTCGAAAAATGAAGAGTACGCCTATCGTACATTTTCAGCCACCAGGCTTTTTTGAGCGTAGGTATGAGAAATCGGTTCTCTTTTCTTGATACCGTACGAAAATCTCAAACAAGAGTTTTGAACTTTTTGAATTCATTGTTGCTCATTTCTATTCAGAAAATAATGATACACTACGTCACAATGGTTGAAAATAGATAGTATCAACGAATCACAAATGAATAATTTGGTTTTGAGGCTTAAGACATGCCTATTAGGGTATACTACTATCATTTTCCCAAATGCTCTTCGAATCAATGTCGAAGTATGTTTTTTGAATTTGATTTCATCATCGATAAAAACTTCTAGATTTTCAACCTGATTTACAACCGGTAAAGCATTGTCATCAATTTTTATGATCACATCGCTAAGTTTCGACCTTGTGACTTTCCTTCCAAATACAATCATAGAGCATTTGGAATTATTGACTTCCAGGGCATGTTTCTTCGATACATTAACTAATTGATTCAAATCCTCATTATTGATATTTTCGCTTTGCTGTACAGAGTTAGGAGTGAAAGAATAATACAACTGTGTGTCATCGGCTCACATATGATATTTGAGTTTTCTCAAAGAGGTTGTCAAATTGGAGGTGTAAATTATGTAGAGGATAGGTCCAAGGACTGAACCCTGTGGACACCTGAAGAAATATTCTTGAAATCTGACATGTTGCTCTCCACTCTAACAATTTGTTGTCTATGTGAAAGATATGAATCGTGCTTTGAGAAAGTCCATTACAGTGTAATATAAATCGAAGTTGTTGATGATTCAATGTATCGAAAGCTTTGCTGAAGTCGATCAATTGTAGGACAGTAATTTCGTTTTTATCCGATGCTGCGACGATATCATCTGATATGTTCAATAAAGCTATACCACAGATATAGTTTGGTCTGAACCAGATTGCATAATTGGAAGAACATTGTTGTTGTGAAGGTGGTTTATCAACTGTTGAGCAATAGCCTTTTCCAAAATTTTAGAAAGAAGTGGAAGAAGACTTATAGGACGCAAGTCTTTGAATTCCTTAGCTTCTTTGATTTTGGGTATTGGTACCACGATAGACTGCTTCCACATACTTGGGAAAACTTTCTTCTCCAAGCAAAAGTTCATAATATGTTAAATAACGGGCACTATAGGTGGATAGCAGAGATTTAAGAGAAAATTATCGAGATCATCTATTCCTTTTGATCTACTTTTTATTTGTTTCATGGAGGTTAACAATTAATTTTCGGTGATCAATGTGTGTTTTCAATGTCGTGAATATCTTTTAGTATTAATACATAGTGTACACTAACTTTGTTGAACGAAACATGTTCATTTGCTGTAGAGTCTGAGTTGAATTGAAAAAAAATGCAAAAATAGTAGTAACTGTATGGGACTTCATTAAAAAAATTCCTTCAAGGTGGAATTCATATTTTTGTTGTTTTTTTTGATACTTTTGAAATATGCCAGATGTGGTTTAGAGGAGTATTTCGAAAATTAAAACTTGTGAAATGCTTGGATGCCCGCCTTTTTTGAACCCTACGAAGCTTCATTCACACATTATATGATAGAAAGTATGATAAAAGTGTTTTATTTAGTGAAATTCATTATCCAGCTATGAAATCGAAAACATCAGAAGTAGGTTTTTGTAGATACAAATTTGATACAAACTGGACACCAACTCAAACCGAGTGAGTCCATCTCCTTAACAAAACTGGTTCGTTTGGTGAGTGAATCTCCAGGTCAGATAGCCAGAGATAAACTCTTGGGTCTGTGACTGTATACATATATCTGCAGCATAACTTGGGGGTGTGTCTGATTTGTCCAATTGGCAATATGCAGAGTTTCGTACCATTTTTACCTCTAACTACAAAAATTACGAATGCATTTTTCATGAAAACAATTCACTTTTGAGACCATTCAGAATAGAAGAAAAAAATAATTCACCTCACAAAGTCAGCAAAATAACCAATAATGAAAATTTTCTTTTTGCAGTGGTACGTTAAACGTCACCAACCTAGTGTGGCACGGAATTCCCAACTGGAGTGTGGATATTGAACAATTCAGTGATGACAGTGACTCAAATGCAATTTTGAAATACACACTGTGGTGGCCAAAATTCGTCTTCACTTCAAAATACAGTCTTTATGCAAATGTGGCGTTGATACCCACACACTTTGCCGGAGATTTAAAGTAAGTTATGGTATTTTAACATTTTAAGTTCTTTGTTTCTCGTTCAGCTCCAAGTGTATTTTTGGAGCTGAACAAAGCAAGAATGAGACTTGAGGGTAAGGGATATATATGTTAGCTCGAAGATTCTCACGAACAAAGTATGATGGGCTGTTTTTTCGGGTTTCGTTCCGTCATCAGTGTTTTTGATCCTCACAAGGATCATTTCCACAACGTTTCAGCAAACTTTTATTTACCATCTTCTGGTTATCAAAACCAGGAAAAACAGCTCATCATATTTAATAGTTATATATTATTTAATTATACATATTATATTTATATACAGGCCGTTTTTAAGCTGGTACCACTATTGCTATCTCGGAAATGGTAGGTCCAACAAAAACGGTTAAATGGAACAAAAGTTGCCTTTTTGGAGACGCAGAATAATGACATTCTCAGATCGACAAAATCACCAACAGTTTCTGACATATTTGCAAAAAAATGAAAATAACAGATTTTGTTTTATGCTCCACCGTATGTTTTCCATAATCTGGTTCAATCCATTTTCCAATGCGACGTTTCGTTCATTGATATGAACCTGTATATTATTTTATACATTTTATTGGTCATTGAAATTACAAATTCATTGACATAATATAACATATGTTTTTCTAGACGTTTCTTCCAAAATACACCTCATAAAAATTCCATCATTCAACTTTTTTTCAATGAAAAATCAGATTCCTACTAAATATCGTTGCAAACACATTGAAAAAGACACAGTTGCGAAATACAATGTAACTAAATAATAAATCGTAGAAAATGGACATCATAACGGAATGCCTCACGTTACATATTTCAAGTTACCGTCTCACGTGATATCGCATTGAACGTTTGAATTGTCTTTCATCATTTCTTAAAAAAATATTTGTTTTAGAAATAGTGTGCTTGTGGCAGTTCTCTGATATCTGTGGAGTGATAGCCATGCAGGTTTTCCTGATTGAATCTTTCGATTCCTCAATATTTTCAAATTTTTTTCTAAACACTTCATCTTTCATAAAGCCCCATATAGGAACATCATTCCTATCCATCTTCCCGGCATAATTGTATTGAGGAAATCTCTGCACATTCTCCTGTGATGTGATGAAGCTCCGTCGTATCGAAAATACTCATATTTTCTTATTAGGCTGAGTGACAAATTTTCTGAAAACTCAATTGGAGTTCCTGATGAGAAATCCAAGAATAATTCTCCGCTCAGAGATGTTTAAAACAAGTGGGGGCCAATAAATTCATTATCAAAAACACCAAGCCATACGTTAATACTATATCTTTCTTGAGGACTGATAACTCTATGTAAATATTCATTTTCTTGTCGCCAGTGATAATGAATATTCCTGTTGGACCATCCGTTATTTGTTAATCTACTTTCATCACACTACAATTTTTTTTGCTAATTTCATTGTTTTCCGTCCGTCAAACTCAAACGCAAATGATGGACTTTCCTGACTCGATAAGGCTTGAACTTATTTTTCTCTAAAATATTCCGTACTGACGTACGTATCTGAAGATAAATAGATACGTACTATTCTGATCATTTCCATATTGATTTCAATTCAAGAGCCACCGGTAGACAGCTGTTTCAGCCTATTGGGCATCGACAGTACCGGGCAGGGGGTCCTCGATTGAAGACAAAATGTAAATGACCAAGAAAAGTACTTGATAAAAATAACTACGTAAACGCAAGCGAGACATAAGTGGAACCGCCTGTTAGTTTGACATCCAAGTGAACTTGCCAAGTTTTCATATCAGTGTTGGAGGTTTGACCAATCAACCGACAACTACGGTAGCAGAAATTCGGAGAGCTATCCTGGAATGCAGTATGTGAATACCGGGCATGCAGTATGTGAATAATGTTGTCGGTTGATTGGTCAAATCACCAACACTGACAAAAAACTTGTCAAGTTGATTTGGGTGTCATTCCAATAGTTGGCTCCACTTATGTCTTGCTTGCGTTTGAGCAGTTATTTTCATTAAGTACTTTTCATGGTTATTCATATTTTGTCTTCAATTGAGGACCGTCTGCCCGGTACTGAAGATGCCCAATAGGCTGAAACAGCTGTCTACCAGTGGCTCTTAAATTGAAATCAATATGGAAATGATCAGAATGGTACTTATCAATTCCTCTTGTGATTTTCATGGAATTATTTTCCAGGAGCTTGACTGCATTAATCTCTTTTGATTTCATATCAATTATAGAAACATGTGGATTCGTTTCCCGATGGCATTTCAAATTGAGTCGGCATCATTGCCTACCATGTTATTATTGACGCTACGAAATCGGTTGAATGGGCAAACTAGTAGCATTTTTAATTGCCTTCTCGATGTCGGAAACAAAAAAAAATTAGACAGTCGCGTTTTCAAAATATTTCATAAAATGATATTTTTTTGAATGGAAAACCACCATTCAACCCAAACGCTATGGAACCTTTCGTAGAATCGTGGATTAGTTCTTAGTTGATCCCAGGATAGGAAAAAACGTGATGTAATGATGCCTCAATATGTTTACGTATTGTTTATTGAGGCTATTTTGTCAGAATAGGAAAGGATCAGTTGTTGTCTTCGATATTGTCAGGATGGTTCTCCTTTTCCACATGATTTACTGTCAATTGGAGATTTTCTATAGCCTCCTAAAATATATTGTAGGGCATAGTTGTGAACGATATTAAGTTGTTTAAATGTTGATTGTTTGAAAGATGCATATCATATGCAATAATAATCAATTTTTGAACAGAATGTTGAATATTTTTAAGAGAAGAGATTTTGCCCTTTGCGGTGAATGTTTTAAAAATATTGCTGTAATGCTCTGATGACATCCTTGAGTGAATGTGATGCTTCCAAAAATTATGTTTGTCGAATTGGAGCTTTGATACGACCTTGATCTTTTTCAGTAGAGATTGTTCTGGATTTTTGGAAGATTTTATATGAGAAGAAGCTTTCATGGTAAGTTCCATGGTGGAGTTTTGCCTATAGTATTCAGCTAGCTTGCATCTATTCCATATTGCGGAATAATCCTTAGAATGTTTTGCACCGTTTCCAAATCAATAAGATAGAAATGTTGCTATGTGTGTACTGTACGTATTTTTCACACGATTTCCAGATAATACGCAGAATAGCTACGTAAATTTGGTTTTGTTTATTTATTGATGAATTCAGATCAGTTAAAATTGACCGTGGTTAACACCATAGTTGTGTAATTTGTCATATTGCAGGCTTTTGAAATGAATCGTCACATACACGATGCTGTCTATTTATCTTTTTGGCAAATTTTTTTTCGTAGTCCTCATTTTAAAAAAATTGGTAAAATAATGAAACTTTACTTAGATGGCCATGACTTCAAATCTAGATATATTCAACGCTAAACAACTTTTCTGGATAACATTTCCCGAAATTTTTCAAAATAAGAGTACTTTACTCTTGTCTCAAAATAAAATATTTGAAGGCTTCTCGTATATTACATGTGTTTTACTGTATTCCGTTGGTGCATGTTTAGTTTTAGGGGATGCACAAACTTTAATCAAGAATAACTTTTCATTGAGAAACCCTTAATAAATAAGTTTCCCATATGCATACTTTGGGGATGACACTGTATGTTACATAGTTACATGAACTATTTTGAGACTTTTTTTTAGTAACAATTACAATCCGATGGGTCCAACTCACTTCGTAAATCTGCGCCTGGCGTTATTATTCATGAGAATTGGTTAATTATATGTTATTATCGAATATATAAAAATGGATGTTTGTTGGTTGGTTGGTTGATTGGTTGTTTGGTTGGTTGGTAAGTGATAAACTTCTACATCGCTCAACCGATCGTGATGAAACTTGACAGGTATAAGTATATTTTCATAGAGAAGGTTTTTAGACTATCAATTTTTCTGTAACTCACCACTAGATGGCGCTGTAGAACAATTTTTTGAAAGCACTGTTATATAACGCTGCGCATGCCTAAGTTCGTTGATTCTGATTCTGTCAAAACATTGGAACAGCAGCGATACAACAACATAGTACTAATTAGTACTACAACTACCAAATTCTACACGGGCGAAGCCGCGGGCAGCAACTAGTTGGATATATTTGTGAGCTTTGCATACTATTACTACTGTTATTCCTACTTCTTATTGGTATTTCGATCAGTCGACGGATATTACGACCCATGTAAAGTATTTGTCAAAAACTGCAATGAGCAATAATTTACAAATTTTTCCTACCTGACATCTGTAGATGATTCTGCTTTCAAACAAGTTTTTAAAAATATAAAAAGGTATATGATCGTGAATTCCATTTTCGGAAATTATACGAAACGATATGGTAGATTTATTCATAAGTCGCTACATGAAGACATGTAGCAATATATATTGGAGTTTCTCAATTATAACACATTTATCTTCAAATTCAGATAAATATTATTTCTTACAGTGTCACCTTAGCCAGCACCACTTGGAGTGGTGAAGTCAACTTCACCAAACCAGGTTTCAATCTAATAGAAGGAGTTGAAGGACTTACTTTGAGCTGGAATTCTGTACAAGTGCATGTAAGTACTATATATATCCTACGTTATGATAGAATGATGGAATTGAGTTATTTATGTCCACTATTCATTACTGAAGAAGACTCTATGTTTCGTATCAGTAACAGTTGACAAATTTTATGATAATTCCACTAGTTTGTCAGGAATATCTGTAACATTCTTTCTGATGGCGAAATTTATTGGATCATCGTTATATAAACTTCCAATTGGATGGTCTCATACATCGAACATATCTTTTTGAACATGCTGACAAAAACTTTGTGACAATTAGGTGTTGGAATGAAGAATCGTGTAGTGTAAGAGTTTACAAAAACCAGTCATAGAAAGCTCCCATCTACAACGACAATTGTCCCACAGTTAGTCAGGAATATCATCCGAGACTCATCAGGTTCATCTGAGGATGTTGAACAGACCCATGTATGTGCTAGATTCTATTAGATACTCTCGAAGGAATTTATGGTAACAATACATAATTCAAATCGTGCCGACAGCTGAATAGGTAATCAGCCTACCATTGGTCATGCGGGGCTCTGCTAGAGGTGACCAACTCAGAAACAACAAAAACAAAAACCAATTTTGAGGCTGGACAGAAGTGCTCACCTCAATCTAAGGTGGTGGCTGGGGATGAACATAAATGTCCACGCCAATCTACCGCTTGGAATGAGGCTGGACATAGCAGATCACCTCCAACAGCAAGGGTACTTTTTGCGGCGGGCGCCAAGAGCTCCGGCTTGAATGAAGGCAAGGACCCGGCTGCCTTCCAAAACCTTCGTGGAAGCCACCGTAAGACACCTCAAGGTTGCGAAAAAGAGTGTGTGTTCGGCGAGTCTTGGCCTTCACCTGCCAATATAATGAACATGTCTCCTAGTGACCTGTTCACCTTTCTGGAAAGGACAGGATGGACCTAGAAGGCGACTCTTCGGGGGGATATACAATGGGTCACATGTGGCTGTGAGTCTACACTCAGCCTCCCTACTCTACAGATACCAGATACATATTTCTTGCCATTGTTTAACCTAATAGACAGACTGGTCCTGTGATCATGAAGGAATAAAAGAACTAACGGAGAGGACAAATACTGGATCTATACTGAGCACCAGAATATTCAGAAATCACAGAAAATTTAAAAGCTGTTGATTCGTGTCCTAGGAATGAATCTGAATAATCTGTGAGAATACCAAAATCATTGGTTCAAGTTCAAGGAATTAAATGAAAAACCTGTGAGACTACAAACAGAAAAACCATTTAATGATTCCATTGCTACTTCCTGTACAATGCATATTGGAGAAACACTTCAACAACGAAGATGCAATAAATGGAACAAAACAATAAAGGCAGCTTGTCATATTCCATTCAAATGAGAGGTACTGGATCATTGAAGACAAGCAAATTATTGTAAAAGAATGTGACAAACAATAGACTTTGGAAATAACTGGGCGATACTTGATGAAAATCCATATTATCAATCACAGATACATTTCATTGCAAAGTTTTTACAAAAACCGCGACACGTGTTTCGCCAGGCGATAAATCTAGCTTAAGCGAGATTGTTGAGTTATTTAACATTCTCGCGGTTCATAGTGTAATAAATTGTATGATAACGAATTGAATCCCTCATCTGGTTACTTTATTTCATTTGTTATGTTCCATGAACTTCAATATCATCCGAGATCAATATCAAATGGTGTCTTCGTTTGGTCTTAGTGTCTGCATATTGTCAAAAAATCAAATCTAGTACAAGAAGAGTGCTTCTCAGTAATGTTTTTCTGGTTCATAATATTTATAGTATTTTGTGTTCACGTATAGGGATTATATAATAAACGTATGAGGAGAATATTATTTTGATGATTCCTTCGATATTTGGAGGAATTCTCGACAAGAATTTGTTATTTTCCCCTAATTATTTGCACTACATTGATCAAAATATTATAATTTCAGTTCGACTTCACTGGACTTGGACCTTTCAATGGTATGGTTTCTAATACACTGAGTGGATTTGTTAAAGGATTCCTCGACACTGGAGCCATGGGAAATACTCTTGGTGAAGCACTCAAGACAAGATTGAATACTGCCTGGTTCCAACATAATGAAAGGATCGATAAGATTTTGGAATATTGTAGGAACAACTAAGATATTATGGGAAAATGTAAATTTCAATGAATAAATAATGAATGAACTTCATTTTACCGACATGTTCATATTTCATTACAATTTTAACCAAATTTCATTACCTGGAAAATGTTATCAGATTTGAAATCTAAGAGCATGTAAATGAATTAACTAATTATAAGACCAGAATCATAATATTCGGAAGAGCTAATCAAAACGTGTTAAATATCAAAAAATGTACGAAATCAATGATAAATCAAAAATATGAGAAAATAAATACGGCAAAACCAAATATTTTTGAACAGTAATGTAAATAATTTGATATTATAGGCTATCAAATATTTCATCAACAGAAACCATCATATATGATATATTCAAAAGAAAACTTAGAATATAAAACTCGAAATAGAATACTTTCATAATTACTATTATTATTCACATTTTTCTGGTGACAGCTTTACAAGATATTCGTAAGCATTCTCATCTGCATATCAAAACTCGTACCAGTGTAGCAGCAAATTATTGACAATTCAATAATCTGTTGCACATTCACATGTGAACGGCAGCTTTCTACCGGAATGCACTGTGGGTTCGTTAAAAAATTATTCTCATTTAATTCGAATCAACATTGAAATGGGCGCCACCCAATTTGTGAAAATACCAGTAACAATAATTTATGAAGCAGGGAAACCAAATAGGACAAATTGATGAGAACATATTCTGGGGAGTTTGGTCGTTGAGTAATAGATAAACAGTTAAAGTTAACAACTAAAATTCAAATATGTTTATTCAAGTTATACCAAACAGAAGCTTCTGTGATATGGGAGTCGAAGAAATTTTGAGGAAGACAGAACTCAATTTTGCAAAATAATATCACATTATAGTTGGAGAAGGCTTACCCATAGTACTATGCATCAGCTCACCACATTATTGCATCATGAAGTAAGAGCCGAATCGATCCCTCTACGAAACCCTTTATCACTTGGAAGGATCGATTGCAGCTTGAGAAATGGTTTGAATTGAAGAGGTTATATTTTTAGGAGTGACTAATTTTTGGGAAAGAAAGTTTTTGGTTTCCTACTACTCCATCTTGATACGAAAAAATGTGGGAATCTTCCAAACAAATGAAGGAAGTAATCAATTTTAAAATAAGTAACTCTATACATGGATATACAGATCATGCGAAGAAGTATCACGATGGAGTATTAGAAAGCCAAAAACTTTCTTTCCCAGAGAAATGGTTGTTATGCAGATTCTGTGAAACATGTTTTTTCTTACGAATCAGTAGAGAGTTATCCTGAAAATTCAGAGAAGGAAATTGGATTAGATAATTTAGGAAACACTTGGTACATGAATAGCATTTTTACAAGTGTTGTTCATAACGAAGAATTTCAAGAACGAGGTTTTGAAGATGAACATCAACGAGAATATTTTCTACTTATTCACCAAACTCAAACACCTGTTCATGAAGGTGCAGTTTCGTAAGAATGTATCATCTTTCCCTCCAACCGATTTTCTGGAGTCTTTGAAGCCCACCAGATACTCATTTGGACAACAAGAGAATTCTTCCGAATTCTTGGAGTTCTTGTTGAATACTCTTCGTGAGCAAAACATTAGCAGAATCAATACCCCTGACCGCTCTGGATTGAATGGTTCCGTAGAGTCTATCTCGTATTGTGTTTGTAAATATTTTGCTGGAAAAATCCTCACTTGTTTACTTTGTAGTAAATGTTCAAGATGTAGCAAAAACGTATGTGAATTTCTGGAACTTCAACTAGCGTTTCCTAATATGACTAATAAGCAGTCTGTGCAAAGAGCTTATTGGTGAATCATCTGAAAATGGAACTTCTTTTGACAGGTGATGATCGACTGTATTGCCAAACATACGCCAAACTAACTGACTGTTATGAGAAAACAAGTATATCTGAGGCACCAGTAAATCTAATATTAACACTGATGATCTTCTAACATGACCGAACCTCTGACGGAAACTCTCACGAAGGTTCAAAATAGATGAACACGTCAATCTAGCAGACCACTATTATAATCTTCATGCAGTCATTATTCACTGTGGTTCTGGCGTTGAATCGGGTCATTAATACGCCTTGGTCAAAGACGAAACGGACTGATTTAAGTTTGACGATAGTCGTGTCACTAAGTGTTCTGGCAATGCATTGAATTTATTGGAACCTCTGGAGATACCCTACATTTTGTTTTATGAGAGAGAGGACATTGGCAGATCAAGATCTTCAGGTGATGTGTTGCTGCAGATTTGTCCGGGTTTTACTGCAGCTGAAAAAGCAAATGCGCCACTGGAATCAATGAAGTGGCCCCGGAGCGCCAATTAATTTTTGTTGTTATTTTATAATTCTATGACTCGTATTTTAGAAATGTTATAAATTTTGACTCTACTTTCTTCAGATTATTATAGTGAACACTTCACCTGTGAGTTTTTTCACAAAAAAAAATGGAAATAAAGTTTTTCGGTTGCAAATAACATTATAAGTTGAACTCATATCATAAGTTCATATCATTACTTTAGTATACTCTCCAGTTGTTCACCACCAAATACGTTTCTTCACCATGCTCGTTTCGTGTAAAATGAATATTAGGACTGATGAAGATAAGTTTGAAATTCATGAATTTAGGGATTTCAAATATTTCAATGAAGATGATTTTGAGAGAGATCTTTACTGTATTCCTTTTTTCAATATATTTGATCAGGAAGGAGCTGATGAAAAAATAACTTCTTTAGTTAACTGTTTGACTAATCTTTTCGATAGACATGCTTCCTTGAAAACATCAAGAATAACTAATAAGCGATCTCCTTGGCTAACTGGAACAATGAAAGAGATGATGTTAATAAGGGATAAAGCTTTCAGAAGATTCAAAAGAACTAAATCAGAAATTCATTTTCAGTTCTATAAGGACATGCGGAACGTCACTAATCAGGCGATCAAGAGAGAAAAGAAGGCATATTTCATTTCAGAGCTCAACAAAAAAAAACAACAAACATCTCTGGAAAGCCATAAAATCTAATGAGTTCATACCAAATAAAGTTCACAGCATTCCAGAAAATTTGAAGAATCCCTCTCAGTTAAATGATTTTTTTTAACTCAATTCCTATTAATGAACCACCCCCCGAACTCACCTCTTTCTATACTGACCTTAAATTGGTAGACTTAGACTTCAAGTTTCAAGAAGTACATGATATGTTTGTTTTTGAAACAATTTCTAATATTCCAGCATTCCAGAAAATTTGAAGAATCCCTCTCAGTTAAATGATTTTTTTTAACTCAATTCCTATTAATGAACCACCCCCCGAACTCACCTCTTTCTATACTGACAATAAATTGGTAGACTTAGACTTCAAGTTTCAAGAAGTACATGATATGTTTGTTTTTGAAACAATTTCTAATATAAAAACAAATGCAATGGGATATGACTTACTTAATATAAAACTCATAAAAATATGCTGTCCACATACTTATAATTCCATATGTAACACATATCATGAATTTTTGTCTGAATAATAATATTTTCCCGCGATATGGAAGAAAGCAATTGTGAAAGTTGTATAAAAAAAAATAATCCATCAGAGTACAAAGACCTTCGGTTTATTACCAACTTTGTAAAAAGTTCTTGAAAGAGATATTGAAGTTCAGTTGAAAAAACACATTGACAATTTCTCTATACTTCCAATACGTCAATCCGGATTTCGTAAAGGATATAGTTGTTCAAGTGCTTTGTTATATATAGTGGACGATATTATAAGAGCACGTGACGCAAAAAATAATACAGTATTGGTACTTCTTGATTTTAGTAGAACGTTCGATACTATTAACTTCGATTTAATTTTATTAATTCTTGGCTATATTGGACCCTCTAAAAATGCTATATCACTAATCTGATCGTATCTCACCAACCGTCAACAAAAGGTTACCATAGAAGGAAACTCACAATATTCAAAGATGATATGTGGAGTGCCGAAGGGCTCTATTTTGGGACCCCTTTTGTTTGCTATGTATACATCTCAACTTGCAAAATGTTTAAAATTTTGTGATATACATTTGTACCGGCTGGTTAAATATGAACGTGAGAGAGTGTTACATGCTGCAACTTTGTTTCACAAAATAATAAATAGTAAAGTGCCGTCTTACTTACACCAGAAAATTACTTTTAGAACTGATGTGCATAATATTAATGTAAGGTATAAAGGCCGACTAACTCCATCATCCTTTCGCACAGAGTTCTTTAGAAGGAGTTTCAGCTACCAGATCTGTGCAATTTATAATGACATTACCGAGCCTATGAATCGAGATGACTTCAATCATTTCAATACCAATTTCAAACGATTCTTATTATCTTCAAACTATTAACGATCCAATAGCTACCTAACTATTACAAATCTATGAAAAGTCATAATATTTTAAGATAATAAAAAATCCTTTTTGTTTATTCCTTGAATTTGAAATGAAAAGTGATTTGATTATAATTGAGAATTCGTAAATATACAGAGTATTGAAAAATTCAAAAGGAACACATAAGTCGTAGGACAAATGAAAAGTAAGAGATTCAAAATTCCGCATGAATTGGGAGTTAGAGGGCAACTGAAGTGTTCGAATGGTATCCTGTATAAGCTGTGAGTTCATTTGAATTCATCACAATAATTATAGAAAATAATAGTAAGATAACCTAAACGTCACAACAGTACGAATCAATATTTATGCAAGATATATAATATTCATAAATCTCGAAACACTTTAATTTTTAAACAAGGTGTTTTCTATCTGTATCTGTAGAGTAGGGTGGATGAGTGTAAGCCCACAGCACTTAGGCAACATCTGACCCATAGTACATCTTACCGAGGAGTTGTCCTCCTAGGCCATCGTCCATCCTGTCCTTTTCAGGAAGGTGGACAGGTCACTGGCAGACATCTCCTTTATATCGGCCGAACACACACTCTCTTATTGACGATAACTCCGGGCACTCTCATAGGACATGTCTGACTGTCTCATCTTCTTGTTCACACATCCTGTGTGAACACAGGCCCCACTAGCCCCATACTATGGAGGTGTTTCCT